TTTTTTTTTTTCTTTGCATATGTTTTTTTTTCTTTGCATACGTTTGTTTAAACAGTGTTTAATGTTTTGGTTGGATTTTTACATGTAGTACCTGAGTGTTGTTTATTTAAACGAAACGTCATAGTTTATGAACTCAAACATTTTCATCGAGAGATAACATGAAATGTTCGTCATATTTGTTCGTCACGTTTTGAATATTCTTTAAACTAATAACAACGTACGTTTGTCTTTATTAGAAAATTAGAAAAACTATCAGCACTATGTGTTTTATAAGATATTAAGTAACATTTTGACATTAAGTAACAATCATTTCTTTACCAACGAATTACTTCTTTCAGTATCTGGCAAAAATTCTGATTTAAAAAAATAAAAAGTTGAATTATTATTTAAATTTTGTTATTTTATATTGATTTTGATTTTTACGTCATAAACAGAAAACGGAAGTTTTGTAGAAGATTTCTTAGCAGAGTTGATGAAATTTGTGTAATAAAATTACGTTCGCAGTAACGTTGTAACTAGCTTATTCTCTTTTTTATTATGTTCCAAGAAACGGAATTGAAAGTACCATTTTTGCTGTTTCAAGTTTGGACGTTCGAATGTTATTTCCCTATCTTTATAACGGAAGAAATTGTCACAGAAGTTGCCATTCTACGCTTAGAAAATGCATAAATCGAAAACAATAATAAATGGCTTAAAACCGTTTCTTTAACAAATTTAATTTGCTGTTTTTCACAACCTCATATTCATGTTAACATGAACATATATTACTTGTACAATGTTTAAAATGAGCAGTTAATTGTGAAAAAAATCAAACATTAAATGCTCAAGTACAAATTACTCTGGTCCTCTTATAAGTGAATTAATTTCTTATAATGAATTTCGAAATTCAGGAGACTCACATCACGTAGCATATAAATATCAGAAACTTAAAAGATTTAGGCGTATCATGAATTCTTGATATTTGCATGCATTCGAGGTCATTTTATATCAATTAACATAGCTAAATGGATGCAGATATTTTATATAAAGATAGAACTTACCAACATGTTAAATTTTGCACACTTGTAGACTTCACATAACGCCTTTAAAAATGAGATAAATGCAATCAAACGTAAAGATTAATAAAAGCCACAACCCTCTTCAAGAATCTGCTTTGACTGATGTTATGATAAAACAGTGTATTTCGAATATCTGCTGAAAGTGCCAGAAGCTGCTACTGATCGTCGTCCAAACATTTTGTCAGTTTAGTTAACTGACCATTGCAGTAAAAAATGTGTCCTTGGCTTTTACATTTTCAACATACTTCACATGTAATTCAGTTAACCGTATGGAGATGAAGAACAGTAGAGGGATCGTGACCACGTTCCCCCATCACTCATTAACACACATGTAATACTTCTAGAACAATACAGTGAACTGTAAACGAACTATCCATAACTAAGCCAAGAGATAAGTCAAGGCACTTACGAAAGAAACGGAGTTACCTTTTATACACTTCAGCTTTTTAAATTCGGTAATGTTTTCTAGTTTGGCTTGGTTTATATGATTATCGCAAAGCACACTTGGGTGATCTGCTTAAGAGGAGGGATGCCTTCGTGGAGGATTTTCTAAGGAAACTCGGTCATATACAACCAGCTCGTTCGCCTGAGAGCGAACCCAGGTCAAACTACCAGTGGTCAGTGATTTATAAGAACACTGATATCTTCGAACTATCCAGATATACTTGACAACTCATTTATGGATCTTATATTCACACGAAATATTAGTTGACAGTTTTTGAATTATATTTGCTGTTGTTCCTTTTGATTTTTACTTCCTTGTATGAAGTAAAAAGGAAGTATTGTAATCGCGAAAAATTTCGTGTATCATATTTCAATGAAAATATCCATTTTGACCGCTATTGAATGCAATTTAACGACGTTTTTGCTTGACATCTGTACGTAAGGACAGAATAAAGGACTATAACATGTAGATATGCACGTCCCATTTTGGTTGTATATACTATCATATATATATATATATATATATATATATATATATAACCCACCCTGTTACTCGGCTCAGTGAGCTCAGTTTCTTTATTCTTATATGTTTGTAAATTGTGCACTTTTTGCTTTAAAATGATTGAATTGTGTTATTCTGATTACGATTTTTACGCCTTTAGTTAACCTGCATGCAATAATTGTGGAATTATCAACAAGTTAAAAGCTTTTTTTAAGTGCGGCAAAGCCTAATTTCCGATCACAGTGGCAGCCATGTTTGGTTACTTTTGAAACTTCGCAGAACAGTGGATTTGTTGCCAATCTAGAGAAACTAAGCTTCGCAACAACAAAGTAACGTCTTCTTCTATTATTGCGAATTAAATTATGCTTAATTCATTCTGGAATTAACATTTAACTTATTAGCTTGTTTTGGCGTAGAAACTGTAATTTTAATAATATTTTTTAAATTGTATTTGGTGTTTTATGTTTTTCTATAGCTTTCAAATTTTAATGAAAGTATTTTGAATTTTTATGTATTTTTTCCTTGACGCGAGGTCATTTTTATATGAATTGCGAAGTGAGAATTGAATTCATTTTTAGCGCATGCGAATTAGGTAAGCCTATCTGAATGATCTACGAAAAACTGTTTCTTTTTTATTTCTTTAATTTTTTACACATCATTTTTAGATTTATTATAGTATTTGAATAGAACTTGTGGCAATTTTTCAGATGATATAGGGTTTGTGCACTCTGAGTTATAAATGAATATTAATGCTGTTAAGTGAACGTAGCGCCGAAGTGTCACTATAGTAAATAAATAGAGTAAACTTTAAAAAGTGCATTTATTCTATTCTGATTAATGCGCTATCGACGAAGTAGATTGAATTCAAAATTCGTTAACTGTTAATTCGATATGTTTAAATGAAATGCAGGAAAATTGCATATAATTGAATATTCCGTATAAAGAAGTCATGCGGCGTACACATCAGAATTTTTGCTTTTCTTGTACGAAGTAAAATATTGAACATTTAGAGTATTATGCTTTAACGAAAATACCCATTTTGACCGTACCCGAATCCATTTGGCTATATTTTTGCGTGACTTCTGTACCTTTGTACAGAATGAAGGACTCTTTTTCCAAAATGGATTTAAAACGGATTCAAAAGGGTCTTTTTCGTGACATCTATACCTTCTTACGTATGTATCTTGTATAGAAGCGATTAACCGTAGAACGTATTGAATTTTTTATAGAGGACTGCTATAACATCTAGTTTTGCACCTCTTTTTATACATACCCACGGCTTAAAGATTCTTGCTCCGCTTTTATTTTCGGATTCATTTGTTGTAGTCATATACTTCTAATCATAGGGGTTTTAAATGACGAAAATATGCATTTTTTTGGTCATGCATGTCAAATTTGAAAAGAAATAATTTTCGGCAATTAACGAATTCAAACTACATATATAATAACAATTTATGCATGGTGTTAGTCTAACACTAAATATCTAAGAATTATAAATGTCTGATTATTGTGGTTCTAGAAAAATATTTATTAGGCCATACAAGGAATTCATGTGGGGTCCACACCACTTTTTTATTTTTTATTTTTGTATTTTAACTTCGCCCCATCAGCGGCCGAGCGGTAAAGTCGCTGAACACTAGTAGTTCGGTCCGAGGTTCGAATCCTGAGAACGGGCTGCCTGCATGGGATTTTTCGTGGTTTTCCCCATATGTAACGTATAAACGAGCCAGTTTCCCTTAGAACGTCCTCCACGAAGGCATCCCTCCCCTTAGGAAGTTAGCCCTCGAGGTTTTGCCATAATCACACACACGTATTTCAACTTCTAAACGTTTTGTTTCTTCACTTTACAGTATTTTAATTTTACCATTTCTGTATTATTTATTGTTGTCATTTATTTTCATATATTTTTTTGGCATTTCACTGATTTTACGCATATCATATAAAATCGTTGGGATATATTATCCAAATTAATTTTTTATTTTATCTATCCTGATAATATCCAGTTTAATGTAGAGCTGCCATATTAAAATTTATTAATTTATTAATTAATTTACATTTATTAATAAATGCATAAATTTATATTTTCGTTGAAATATGCATTTATTAATATTACATTTATTAATAAATGCATAAAATATATATAGTAAGAGTATAACTGTAATAGATAGTGTTATACTCTACTATATATATTAGTAGATAATAAAGATATATATATATATATAAAAGAGATAATATATATATAGAGAGAGAGTAGATAATAAAGAGATATATATTATATATATTTAGAGTAGATAATCTGTACAGCAGATAATAAAGAACTTATGCATTCTTTGTTTAATCTTATAAACTGCATCATACTTGCTAGACTTACATATATATATATATATGTTTGACAAATAAAGCTCTTAATTTTTCAGAATTCGAAACCAATATGATTTTGAATTATGCTTAACAAACAATTATTGAAATAGACTGTAAAGGAATTAGACTGAAAAGGATTTATTAGGAATGAAATGTAATTCATTTTATTTTGAAAACAAATTTCTTTTAATTTACGCTCATAAAATGTAAGATCTTTAGCGAAGGTTTATCGAAAACTACAAAGAGGGAATCGGCAACTGTTCTTTGAGCATCCAAGACAGCTTCGATGCTCATATAACAAAAGATCAATTGATAACGTCAATGGCATTAGTGAATTTGCGAAAGATAACAAGCAGTTTTATTACTTTACTTTTAAATGTTACACTGAAACACATTCTATTAACAAACAAAAGAGACACATAAAAGCAATAATTTACTATATCAGATCTTTTCTAGTGAAAGAACAGTTTCGAAGAGAAAAAAGAAATTTCTACATTGGGTGTGACCTTAAAGTAATTAAAAACATCGACACCGCCCTTTTTGTTTATTATCTTTTTTATTATTTGGAAACTTCTGATGAGTTAGTAGTTGAACTGACGGGTTGTTTGTCCTTTTGGGGGATTTCGATGATGACCGGTAGACCTTGTGTTAGATGACCGGTTAAGAATTTCGGATTGTATAAATACTGCTCTCGATTACAAGGCAAATATCAGTTTCGTCTGAGACAACTACAGCTCTAATCATGCAGGTAAGTTGGAAACTTTATATATCTGGTTTCAGGGTTTTGTTAACTTTCATTCTCGTTTAACTCTTTATAAAATATATTAGTTGTATGATTATCGAATGTCATAATTTCTTGCATAAGTTTCTGTTGCCGAGTTGGTTTGGTTAAATTTTTAAAATTTTTTTTAAATATGGCAAAGCACTCGAGGGCTATCTGCCCTAACGGAAGGGATGCCTTCGTTCAGCACATTTAAAGGGAAACTGGCTCTATATAGTCCGTCTATCATAAGAAAAGCTCTCGCCAGTTAGTCTGCAGCTGTCTGTTGCGTAAAAACGAGCTTTGACACGTTTTACGTAAGAGTGTCTTCAAGATTTGCTTTCAGTTTGCCATCTTTGTGCATTTAAAGATGAATTAGCAACCATTGGTTCGCCCCTATTTGAAATTTACTAGCCCTGTTGCTATGGCGACCGTCACCCACCAGATACTGTGGCGGGAGCTGTTCTTTTCGTATGCAGACAGTACATGCTGCACATGGGGAAAACCGAGAAAGCCAACCTGTTCGCCAGGATTCGAACCTAGGACTGGATTATCAGTGCATGCATGAAATTCATCTGGAACTCTCACGATGGTGCTTCGTATTATGTTACATATATCGGAACTACTACATGAAGCTAAAACTAATATCATGGTATTGGTTTGTTAAGTTATAGGGAAAATATGCTTAAAATTGCTTCCCAGGTATTTATTGCTGATTGGAAATATTCCCTTCACAACGTTAATTTCTTCAATTTTCGCTCAATTTAATTGGATTATGGTATTGGATCGCACGGTTTTATTGGATTCTGACGGTTGTGGGTTTATTGGGTCACGGTTTTATTTGATTCTCACAGTTGTATTGGATCTCACGATTTCATTAGATTACTATCTTTGCATCATTTCTTTCAAACCAATATGTGTTAAATTATTGTTATGTACTAAAAGAAAATTATTCTTTTAATTCAATAACATCTTTAAAATTATCTTCCTCAAATAATTACCTATTTTTTAAAATCAGCAAAGCAAAAAGCTTGTGTCTGGAGTAATCGATTTTGATGTCAAGCTGGTCTCCCTTCATCGGGAGCAATCGAATCTGCAAAACTGGTTTCTTTGCTCCTAATGAAGAGAGACCTCTACCAGTTTGCCTTCGAAATCTTTTACACCAAACACAAGGTGCTTGCTTTGCTAATTGAATGTTTCACTCTGGCATGTTTCTGTTCTGTTTTAACCTATTTTTTATTCTTCCACCTTTGAAAACTATTTTAACTCTCATTAATATACAAATTGCTCTATATAAAAAGCTAAAGCTAAAAAATACTTTTTTTTAAATTTTGTAATATCACATTTCTCTAAATTACATTAGGTTTTAAATCCTACGATTATAATATTCCATTATCAAAACTGCATTATTTATAAACTTTCATATAATTGTAAATGTATTTATAAACTTTTATAGTGAATCAATCAAAAAAAAAATGCTTTAAGATAAAAAAGTAACAAGAATGGAAGAATATTTGCATAATATAATTCTGACGCATGTATTTCACTTACTTAAAAGTTGCTATTTAAAAGAAAGAGAGAGAGAGAGAGAGAGAGAGAAAGATGGTTAGGTTATTTGGTAAGGCGAAGTATACTAGGGTTATCTGCCTAAGGAAGAAATGCTTTAACAGACTTTCTAACAGAAACTCTAACAGTTAATATTTAGATACACATGGAGAAAATCATTAAAACATCTACGCAGTCAAACATTTCGTCAGGTCCTGGTCTGATTATCAGTATTAAACGGTTTTAATCACTCCGCCACAGTTGGGCCCACGCGAAAAAGGGAAATCATTAAATGTACAGAATTGAATTCCGTGTTGCCATTTTAATATGTAAAACTTCAAAATTACTGCATTTATAGACTATCATAATTTCTGTTGAGTTTTCTATATTTTCTACTGCATGATATTTCAAAGCATTTTAAAAAATAAAAAAAAAATCTGAAATGTTTCAGATTTTAAATTACGTCCAAAGGGGCGTTTTTTAACATTTTGTGTGTTACCTTTCTTTATTAAATATCATGTTCCTCGCACTTAAACCATAAAATTCCAGTGCAACAGCAATATCGCAAAATAGTTTTAAAACGAGCATATCTTTAGAATTTCCGATACAGAGACTCACGCGCTGGAGATAAAAATGTTTTTTCTGCCACAACAGTGTTGCCATTGCTCGCTTTGAAATCCTTGAGTTTGTTAATCAAAAATTCGTCAAAGTTTTAAAAAATAGGAAATCGATCATAAAACAAATTTCAAATTTCAAATTTGGTCTTCCACAGGTGCTCATATTCGTTGGAGGATTACGTTATTCAGAAATTCGATGACTCTATGTACCGTTGTTTTATCACAATGACGAGAAATATACATACATTTATGCAGATTTTTCATTATTTAATTTCTTCAAATATAATGCATGGGACTCTAACATTTGGTGACAACAGTTTGAAAAGTGAACCGACATTTATGAGTCCGACGCAAAATGCCAAAACGAAACTAATAGTCCTTCGGGATTCAAATCCCTTTGGACTAATTAAAATTCTTAAAGACTAGTGAATAAATTGGATTATCTGTTGTGTCTGCTATCAAGCCGTTTACAACATATAAAACCAGATTCTTTATTTTATAGTTTACAAAAAGCATCATAGAAATCTAATTCAAGAGTTAAGCGAAAGAGAATAGAGGAGAATGCCTCGTGCATGTTATTCTCTGAATTTTTTTGCGAAAACTATGTAGTATTTAACTATAAAAAATATTAAAAAATAATGTATTCAATATTTGATATATTCTGTTTGTTGTCTATAAAAGCTTTAGATAATGGAATTTGGACATTTTTAGAGGCAATGTAGTGTTGTTCGCTCTTATCTTGCTAAATATAATGTCGAGGAACTTAGTTAACTACTAAACTAATAATAAGTCCAAGGAAAAAAATAACTTAAACTCAAGAAGGGTTATTTACCCTTTATTTGCTCAAAATAAAGATTTACAGTTGGCCCCTTTCTCAGAGCGTACATGAAAGCCTCCACTCAGGCTTAAAATTAAAATGTAAGAAATAAGATCTAACTAATGACTAATTAAAGAGATTTAGCCGAAACTAACACAATTCTAAACTAGTTGGCCCATAATATAAACTTACCCAGCAAAGCTGTCAAAAGGCAAGTAATACGGCCAAGCGTAGTAACAGTTAGAGAGACGTCGCCAAAAGGCAAACGCACCTCTCTCTCTTGAAGTCAGTGGAACTTTGACTTAAATACTTTCTACTTCTCATTTGCATTTAACGCGATTCTAAAGTCTCATTCTGGCATGGAATTGTAAGCTGAAGCTAGAAGAGATAAGAAAGTCTCATAAACTTAAAATAACTGTTATAAAATTAAAATGTGCCTTACGGCATTTTAACAGTTTTGTCTTTTGAATATTTTTTGTCTTAATTAGCGACTGCAGATATTTAAAATGCTCATTTTGTAAATGCAAATGGCATTGATTACAAAATATCACCTCGCTTTAAAAAGCACTAGCATCCAAAGAATCCACTCAGTTCTTTTTCTCCGGTTAACTCAATTTTGTGAGTCTCTTCAAAACCAAAAATGTAGGTCAACAGAATGGAATTGTTTTCAACTCGTTTTAAGAGTTTTGCTTCTCCTAATGTTGTAAAATGAAGGGCAAAGAGCGTTTTATGATAACAGGAATATTTCTTAATGAATTATCGATGTTTTAGGAATTTAATTGAAAATTAGGAAAATATTTCTTGATATTGAAGATAAAGTTAATTCAATTTTTTAAGGGCCTTCAATACTCTGTTATCTTTTAAAATAGCTTCAGTTGGGAAATGGGCAGAATTTGAATTTATAATTCTCATGAATAAGATTTACGTCTATGATAATGTTCATATTAACATTCCCAGTTCAATAACTGCATTGATTTTAGATGTATATGCTATGTTCATTAGATGCAGTTCAGAAGTGTTGTTTCATGTTTATATTATCATTCCCAGTTCATTAATTGCTTGATTTACATGTATATGCTGATGCAGTTCAGAAGTGTTGAAATAAAATAATTAGTATATATATAGATATATACATATTACCAAAACCCATTTCGCCAAAATAAAGGCTGCACATACAAAATGTTACATTACGTATGTTAATAAAATATGTGCATAGAACGTAAAATAAAAAGTGAAAGGTATTAAAAAATTATCTTTAAAAATTAAAAAAATTATTAATGCTAAAAAATGTACTATGAAGTCCGGAAATATGAAGCGCCTAAGTACCTAAATTTTAATGTGTAAAGATATGCGTTATGAAATCAATTTGTAAACTGAACATATTTTGAAAATAAATAATTCAGAAAACGTCCCGTAAGCAGTGGAACTAAGTTTATTACAATGCAAAAGTATTAGGGCAGCGTTTTCACCAAACACGCACTTTAAGCAAAGATATAAGGACACGCTATTAAGACTTAATGTTAAGTAATTGCTGGCCAAAGTGCAAGGATACGTTTCATCTCACTGCACTATAGTTAGATCATTTCAACTTGATCTTACACATATTAAAACCATTGCAAGAGATATGAAAAAATACAAGCATAATCAATGCCTCCAAGTCTGTGGAAATGCCACCAAGTCAGTCAAACTGCCACCAAGTCTAATAAAGAGCCAACATTGCACCGCTGCACCCGAAAAGACGCTACCAAACCAATAATTCGAATAAGTAAGATAAAGCATGCATGAAAAGATTAAATAAAAGTGATATAAAATAACTCTGAAAATTATTCGACACTAGTACACTACACAGCTAATAGGCACCAGCGACAGCAACGAGCGCTCCAGGTTTGGCTCAAGCTGGAAAACCCTGTTATTCATTATGGGTTTTATTATCGGGAAGTGAACAACTTGCTATATGGTACTTCCGGTAGTTTTTTAGCTCGCAAGATAAACTCACACCAATGTGAATTTAAGTCCTTTAGGATGAAGACTATCAATAAACAGATAAGAGTATAATGTTGTATTCCAAAATGAGTTAACCAACCATTTCCGACAGCGTAATGGCAGACCGCACATTGAGTTGAACAGTGTTAAACGAATGTCGCATACTGCGCATGCCCAGAAAACAATTTGGCATAATTACTATGTTGGCGCGATTTGAAAAGAAGATAAATACGGTATATGGTAGATGTACCGCCATCTGATTGTAAACAAATCTGGCGTTTAAATCTTCGTAGAGTATAATGTAAATGTAAATTAATTACTGTGTTAAAATACTATTTTTTGCTGTACTGCTCAAACAACTAGAAAGCTGAAATTATTGTGAAGTAATGTGAAGCAGTGTTTGCATTCAAAATGTAAAATATAATACCTATGAAATTCTGCACACTCCTTTGGAAATGTACAAATTTTCGTTCAGAAAAAGACTGAAATTTAGGATATATTAGTTGAAAATTTATTCATTATACTTTTAAGCAATAAAACAATTCAGGATTTACCATACGTTCCATTCGTACATACATAAAGAAACACTGAGGAATATAACAAGTGCTTGCAAATAACACTGAAGAAATTTTACAATTCCTTAATGCTAGTTATTAAATTCTTTGAGAAAATAAAAGCGCGAATATACGCTAACAAACTAAGCGAGATACTCCAGTTTACAATTACTGAATTATAACATGTAAACAAATTACATTTAAATAACGAATTATTACGAACATATGTTAACAAATATTAAATGCACTGTTATTGACAAATTACAATGAAATATATATTAGAAAAATAAGCAAGTGCAATCGGTATGAACGTTAAAATAACTAATAAGCAAAGTTCGACAACATTACAGTTGTAAACATCATTCGAACACACTCGACAGCCGTGGTGATCACGAATAAGCCAGCGTAGGGTTGCTTAGTCGCCAATATTAGTCCCCGCGCCAAAGGTACACCATCAAGCATGCGCAGTAAGCGAAATTTGCTTAACATTGTTCAACTCAATGTGCGGTCTGCCATTACGCTTTCCGACACTCTTTTGTGACTTATTATTAAAAAAATACGTTAATCTTCATATTCTGTTTGATATTGCTTTAAAACGTGTTATTAATGACCACCTGTATAATGAAAGAGAAAAATTAAAACTATTGAAAGCTGTTGAACTATTAACAACTGTTTACAAAAAAACTTCCAAAGAAAGCAGTACATCTAATTTCCAAAGAAAGCAGTACTTCTTTAAAATTATGATTTACATTTAGTCTTATTTTTGTTGTTTTACTATAACAGTATAAGTTGGCCTAATATTTTTTCAGTAGTATTTATAAATAACTTCATATTTTTTCAGGCTATTATCCTCTTCGCTCTCTTTGCCGCTAGTCAAGCAACAGGGTTCTACTCTGTACCAGCACTTCTGAGCACTGGAGCTAGTAAACAGTACAGAGCTCAAGATGTAAGTGATGAATGGTTTATGCCTAACTTATAGTTCGACCATCTCAAGCGCAACCCTGGTTGGCAGTCTGCCAAAACACATAAACTCGTCCAAAAGGGGCTGTATTACTTGCTGCGACGTGAAATGTCTTCTCTTCTCCGGAAAGAACTATGCTGGAAGGAAAGAAAGTCCCCATTCTTCCACCCTATTTTGAGAATAATTCGGCTCGAATGGCGCATGCGTGTTTGCACTCATGGTCGCGGATGAGGCGGTCGAACTATACCAACGTTTGATTTTACTTACAATTTTAATATGCTTAGTGTTACACAGATTAAAAGATAATTACTCTTTTTTGTTTTAAATTAAAAAATAATGATTTCCTTTCCTTAACGTGAAGCTGTGAACTTTATTAGTTCTTCAAAATAGGAGAACAGTTATATAATTTATATTAAAGTATTTTACAAATATTTGGAAGGAATTTTTTTTTTGGTTGATATTCCAATTCACCTGCAGGAACATTGTTGCAAACCTACTTTAGCAAACGTAAATGAAACCGTTTTCATTTGTTAGCTGAATAATTGGAAAGATAAACTACCTCTTATTTTTTCAATGCGAAATATTTGCGCGTCGGAACACTGTTAGTTTTAAAGATGATCGAAAAGAGACAAGCAAAGTGAATAACATTCTAAATACCTGCTTGGAAATGCATGAAAAGAGTGAATTAATATAAATTTCTTATTTATCTGCTGAAAAATTACAGCGATGAATTTTATTTTTCAGAGCATTGGTAACTATCAGTTTGGTTATGATGAGGGTCATCTTTCCGGAGGATCCTTCCGAAAAGAAGCTGGTGATGCCTTTGGTAACAAAATCGGATCTTATGGCCTGAGGGATGCTGATGGTCGTCAACGTATCGTCAACTACGTAGCCGATGCAGCAGGATTCAGAGCAGATATCAAGAGTAACGAACCCGGAGTTGAGCCCAAAGACCCCGCTGCAGTTTCCATCAATAAGGCTATTGCCATTGCCCCAGCTGTGGCCACCTACGCAGCAGCAGCTCCAGCTCCCGTCTTGGCCACATATGCAGCCCCAGCACCCGCTTTAGCTGCCTACGCTGCAGCCCCCGCTATCTCTTATGCTGCCCACTCTATCGCCCCTGTTGCCCACTATGGTCTCTATAAAGGTTCAGCATACCCATATGCTGGGCTTTACCACTTGTAGATAAGTTATTTAGTCATTTTTTTTTTCATTTTGAATTCCCTTCGAATTCGTCTCCCACTGTTTGACAACGATGGAAATTAGAAATAATAAAGAAGCTAAATCCAAATGATTTATTTCTATCATTGCCGACGTAAAATTTCACTAAACAAATCATGGACACGTTAATTTCACAAAAATATGTACACTTTGTGATATTTACATATGTATGAGTAATGTATGCTGTTCTTAAAAATAAGAAAAATCTACATTTACAAGACAGTCAAGAAAACTTTAAAAAAAAGCTCAAAAATATATTTTTTGAAATTTTAGTTATTTTTTTACAAAATGTTATGATTTTTAAACTAAATCCAAAAAGCACATATAATGTCTATAATTGATAAATTTAATTTATTAAATTTATCAATTATAGACATTACTTTATTACAGTATCTAATAAAGTTTTATTTTTTAAATTTAATTTCATTTTAATCAATGACATTGTAACAGTTACTAATTTTAATTTTAATGTAACTATATTTAAAATTTTATTATCAGTTTAGCGTTTAATACTAAATATTTTTAACTGCAGCACAAACTTAAATGGAAACTTAAACTGATAAAAAAAAAAATTATAAAATATTTGACTTTTGGACAAAATGAATGAAAAGTTCTTAAAATAAGCAATAATAAAAATGATAAATAGTTTTCAATTTACGATGGATTACTCTAATTATATATTCTATCAAAAATCTTACAATGAAGTGTTTGCATTCCATCTTCAGTTTTCCTGCTTAGTTTAGATTTATATTTTCGAGCTTGATTGTATTTAAATTTATGAATTTTTGTAAATGAGTTAAAATGTTTTCTTAAGATAAAGCATTTCGTACATAATTGAATAATTATGATTATGAAAATTGCGTTCTTTGTTAAAAATGCACATTATTATTTTCAAGAAACTTAATGTCAAATATAAACAAAAATTTTTACATTCTACATATCCGTGCCATTGATTTATATTTATAAAACGTTATGACTCATCTGTACCCAAGCATAAAAGTCTACCAAGAATTAACGCACAAAAATATTAACTATATTATAACTGTACATTTATACACAGTTTGGAATTTGAAAAAAAAATCCTTTGATTTTTAGAAGCTTCATAAAATTTAATGTAAGATACATAGCACGTAAGAATTTAATTCATTTTTGATTAAATAGATGACTTTGTAAAGTTGAAGAATTAATTTTTTATAACTTATGAGAAGTATAACGCACGAAATATACATATTAAAGGACACCTTACATAAGGAAAACTTTGTTAATTTAAATTATAAAAGCTTCTAAATTAGAAATATTCAGTAACAGTATAACTCTGGAAAAAACAGAGCAATGAATTCATAATACATTCCTTGAAACCTACACAGGGGCTTTATAAGCATGTATAATGAACGTTTTCAATCCTAAATGCTTTCGTGGAGGAATTTTTAAAGGAATCTGACACACTAAATGATGTTAAATGTCCACTTTTATATTGTTAAGCGTGTAGAAATCCACGAAACGTCCCACGCAGTCAGGCCATTCACCAGGTTTTCATCCGGGCGAGCTACCAGTGTTCAGTGGTTTTAGCCAGCCAATTAGTTGAAATACTTATATTTTGAGCAGTATCTTCGAAAAAACCCCTAATAGATTTACAAGTGTAATAGTTAACGACAGCGAATGTCCTTCACTCTATGTGCAGTTTTGTAACTAATAGGAGGGTATATGGAATAACTATTACATTCCTAAATTCGCTAAAAAAGAAATAATATTTTTGCGTGCGTTGAGATAAAAAATATTTAAGATCGTAAGAACTTAGACATAACAGGGAATGCGAACCTTTATAAATCATCCATTTGCGATAAACATTTATAGTTGCAACATACCTTAAATAGTTCATAATCCTTAAACAGTTCACTTAGAACGACAAAGTGAAAATGATATATAAAACAATTTTTTTTTTAAATGTACTTGCTTGAGAAAAGGACAGGATTCAAAACGAAGCAGAAGGGGCAAACTGAAGACAGTTTGCGAAACAGAAGTGGCGTTATAAGTAGATTCATTAACATGTTGACTAGAACGTAAAGGTGTGTAATTAATTTAATTATGGCAAAGCACACTAGGGCTATCTGCCTAAGGGGAGGGATGCCTTCGTGGAGGACTTTCTACGGGAATCTGGCTCGTATACACGTTACACATGGGGAAAACCACGAAAACGCCCATGCAGCCAGCCCATTCGCGGGATTCGAACCTCGGACCTCGGACCGAAGAACGTAACGGAAAGATATTTTACCTCTCGAAATCGAATACTTAAAATTCAAAAAGAAACTTAGTAGGAGGATTTATTGAAATATGACTGAAAGAATTTTAATTAAGTATTCTTTGTTGCCATCAGATAAAACAAATATGTCACTAACATATTGGATCTAAAACCGAAAATTTAGTAATTTATATAATTTAAATCCAATAGTTTATATCAATGTCACCGAAAATACGTTTGGAAAGAATAAAAATGCCTAACACTTCAGTCTAGTTGTAACAATTATTTCACAGCATATTGAAGAATGTTCTGCAACAAACATGAATTAAAAGAGCTCTGCTTCTTTTCTTGTATTTTTTACAATATTCTAAGACTCATTTCTAATAGCAACTGAAGAAAGCGATACATTCAGATTTGAAATCAGTCCTGCTTGCATTACGATAATTCTGATGGCTAATTTTGAATCCTTTTACTAAACATTCTCTGTTGGTAAATGAACTGACTGTGCGATCAAATTATTAGTAATCAAGATAATAAAAATTTGAGCGTAAAATGAAAAGAAGGGGTGTACGGATATCTCAAAAATGAAAAAATAGTCTACATAGATAGAAAACATAGGAGATTATATAAGAGTATTTATCAATATCTCTCATATAATCTCCCCATAATCAGTGGGATATAAAAAATGAAATCTGTATATGTTTACAAAAATTCATTAAAATAAAGCATTTTTACAATGATCTGATTTAACCTATTAAAGCACTGATATTATTCAACACTTCATCAAAAAGTATTAAAAACTGTAATACTTTTGAAACTAATTAGAGCAGTCAAAATGTTCAAAACAAAAAATGTTATTTTCAATACTATGTTGTGGGATTTTAATTGTAGTTCAGAGTTAAATATTTTTTTCTCATCATCACACGTTTTCCAGAAATAGGTTAGTGGTTTCAGATTTCCAGATTTCGGTGTTTCGGTGATCTCAAAACACCAGTGGTATAGTACTAATTCAGAAGTCAAACAACAAAAATCAGCGTTATATTTACAAAATTTTCACTGGGAAAATTTTGTAAATATAACGCTGATTTTTGTTGTTTGATTTCTGAATTAGTATTTATTCGGCGTGTTATTGTGCCTTAGTGGTATAGTAGTTTTTGCTCGGGAGCCAAATTTAAGACAGTGGGTATTGAAAACTTTCTGCCTTAGACAATTAAAAGCAATAGTATAATATCTCATTCGCCATGGCGATTTGAGAAAAAAAATATTGTTTACCATAAAATACAAGAAATAATGTGTTATTTCTAAATAAACTTTTCTCTTGAAATGACGTTTGTAAATTTATGTTTGGAACGCTTTTTATACATAGGAAATGGGCAGTTTTTATTCCATGCTGTTTAATATAAAATTTATATCTGCTTCCATTTTATAATATTTCTTGGTACAAATCGGGAATTTAGTTAAATAAAAAATCAAACTTATCCTGCAAAATGTAATCAAAATATTTCTGAAACTTTACAGGCAAACTGAGTAACAGTGTAACTATTAAATTTGTGTTTCTTAATAAGTGATTGTAAAATATAATTTGTGTCTATTTGTCTTTGCTAAAAGTCTCTTTACATCGCATTTACTAATATTCCAACAACAGAAACTTCCTACTTTTATTTACTGTTAAAGGAAGGATTGAATAAAACTGTATCCAGTGAGAATATATCCTAAAATTCCCTATAGCGGAGTCATTTACGCTAGAAACTTTTGTATTTAGGTAAACAAGGTCGCAACAACAAAGCTTTAAAGTACCAAAAAATTTAAAATGCTGAAATGTTTCTAAAATTCGCCAAGTGTCAGAGATACTTAATGTGACTTAAGGTATTCACTACAAGGCTAAGAGATTCGAGCTCAGCTTAACCTATAAAAATAAGTTCTTATTGATCTGTGACTTCTTTGACATGTGTATCCTCCATTTCTTAACATTTTTACCTATTCTTGAGGAATAATGTGTGGAAATGCACAGGGAAATGATCTTCTTGTCAAAATTGTTTATAACTTTAGTTAAGTTCTTTTATTGTTTTACATTTTTGCACAAACTTCTTCTGAATATGTAGCTTTATGACAGCTCGTTTTCACAGAAAATGCTAGATATTTCCTTATCCGAAGGAAGTTCATTCGGATATTGATTGAATAAATGGAGACTTAGCATTGACTAAATGGCATGTGTTTGGGGAGGCATTCTCAGCAGCATTGATAAAAAGGACACCTATGTCAGATTCTCTCGAAATCATTTCTCTAAACGTAAAGTCAATTTAAGAGTGAATTTTGCCTAGTTTTAAAATTGAAGTTACGATATTTCTCTCCTCCATCAGTTAGATATTATACTTTAAGGGGACTCGTACACCTTAAACTCCTCATGATCTTCGAATATGTGACTGTTGCAAGAATTGGGATATTTTATTTATTTTAAAAGCAATTACTTCCAACTTTTTATAGCTGACTACATAATATAGCTGCTTTGGAAAATAGTAAACAGAAAGTTTGTGTTGCCACATATATTTTTGTAATTTAATCCTCTTTGTGACAAAATATTTTGCAATGTTTCCACCTTGCGCGCATGATATTTAAAAATGGCTAATGGTACATACTTGAAATTTGACGAAATCTTTATATGTGCACTATTTTCTAACTGAACCAACAATCTGATGAATATTTTAATACTGAAAAATTTTAT